TACTTCACAGTCCAGTATTCTTCGAGAAGAAACATAGACCCCAAAAATGAGATTGAACATTAATATTCACCAATGGCCATAAGACATCCAATTTGCCCTGACTTGATATAAATTTTAACATTTTAGAATTCTGGCTGTTGTTTGTTGGGGCACAGAAAGTGATATAGTATATTATTCTTCCTTTTTTGTTGTTATTATTTGAGAAGAGATAATGAGAGGAATTTTGACAGACATGACTCTGTACCCTTTACCGTAAATGCTGTATGGTGCATTTCCACTTAGCAGGATAAATTCCACTGGTGGGCCTTTACTCTTTCCATATAATGACAAGTGGTAACATTGTGACTATAAATCAGTTTCTGGGTGGCTCAAGTTCTTATGTATGTTAATCAGTATCTCAAGTCCCTCATATCTTGAGAACGTAAGCCCGGATATTGGCAACAGAAGTCACTGGCCTAGGAAACTTCAAATGAAAATCTCTCCATTCTGTTGTCTCCTCCTGAGTTGCTGGACCATCACGTCCCTCTAAATCTATTGTGATTCTTGTGACCATTTCTTTGAAAGACTAACGGAAAGGGTTGAGGAGCGATTTGCCTTGAGGCTTGTTGTATCATTTTATTTATATCTGGTATGTCTGTTTCCATGGATTTATTTTCCAATGTATTTGTTCTTTGTTTTGTCTTTTTTACCTCTGTGCATATGTATGTGAGTGAGATTGAGGTTGAGGGTGAAGAAGAGAGAGGGTGATGGAGAGGGAGAGACTGAGACTAAAATTACGTATATCTTTGGTGGCTGTCTGTATGTACAGATATGTAACAGATTACGAGTCTTGGAGTAAATGAAAAAACAAGAAGAAGAAAGGACCAGAAAACAAACATATGGTAAAATATACCTTTATACTTCTATATTTGAGAAATGAAAAAGTAAAAAATAATGAAATATCCTGAATTAACAGTACACAAGGAAATAGAGCGAGAGAGTGAGATAAAAACAAATATTACAATAAGCGAGGCCAATTCACAAATGACACCTGCCTGTGGTGTCCAAAATGTTATATGATGGAAAATGTTTTCTTTGAAAAGCCATCATTAAAAACAAGCAAGTCCTTAAACACTTGCTTTTGCAGCTATGTTTTAAAAAATTGTATAGCAGTGTTCAAAAGGTTGTTATAAAAAAAAGAATGAATGGTAAAATATTTTAGTAAAATTACAAAGAGCAGAAATAGTAAATAAATTATATCACAAGGAGAAATTAATACCCAATAATCAATTAGAGAAAATCAAAGTGACCCTACAGAGAAACTGAAAAATCACATCTAGGAGAGTTGCATGGAGGGTCTCCTGCAAAATTTACCATTAAAGCATCTATTATAAAAAATGAAAGAGAAGTACATAATAATGGCTAAATTAGCAAGAACTACAAAATCCAGTCAACTATGCATGCAAATACATGAATTTTTGCTTGCAGTCTAAACAGAAATTTCAATCAGTAGTACTTCACTTAGGAGGATTTTTGTTTCTCCTCTTTAAGATATGTAATATTAACAATTTCCTTTTTTTAATGTTATCAAACATATAGTTATTTTCTTATTTGTGCTTTAAGTATAGACAAAATTTCTTCATTTTCTACCTTTTTTTTCTTTTTGGGGCACTTGCTTCACAAGGGATTATAAGATTCAGTTCAAAAAGATCTTACAAAGTACAGGTTCTGAATTTGACATAAAAACACTATCGTTCTGGGAATAAAACCTCTGCTCTCCACCATTACAAAATGACTGGAAAAAAACCTACTTTGACTAGCTTAGTTCTCTCAATAAGTCGCACTGAACAGCCTCATTTTAAACAGAACTTTGTCAATACTAAAAAAAAGTTGAAAGAAAAAAAAGTTGAGCACACTTCTGAATTTTTTTTCACTCGCACTTAACAATACTCAAAAAGGACTGTACAAAAAAAAGAAAACACTATCAAAATATGTAAAAACAACCTTCATGGAAGGTATAAAAACAGTTATCCTGGAAGAAAAATGTAAATACACAAGGCACGTGCTTCAAAATCGAACCCCCAAAAAAGCAAGTGATGTTTCACTTTTCTGTTGTTGACTCGTTTTGTTGTATAAGCAATAACAATTAAAAATAGTATTAATACAGAAAAAGACCTCTTTATCCATTTAGATCGAACTGTCAAAGCTTTCATTCATATATTTTACATATTCTAAAAAATGATGATTCACTTCCAAGAATGAAGGACTATTTCTACGTTATTCATTTCATTCATTTCGTACCCTTAGAGAGTTTACTCTGTCCTACTCAGCAGAGGCATTGTAGGGATCTTGAAACATTTGGAGTTCAGCTTATGCTCAATCTTTATATTTTCACCCAGTAATTGCACCATTTTCCAAGTCATTTCTGAGTATAAATAATGTAAGATTCGAGACATTGTGCTTTACCAGAATGTTTTGGCGAGGTTGTTATGAAAAAAAATTGAGACTGAGATCAGGGTTGGAAACCTGGGTGCCAAGCAATGCCATTTCTAGTTATTGCAATAACCATAAGCAAGTTTAGAAAATATATAAAAAAGAGGTATTTTTCATGTATTTAAAAAGTTCCTTAAGAGATCTTTGTTGATTGAGCAAGCTTGTTTGATATTATTTCATATTCTCAGAATCCAAGATAACTTCAGTGAAATACTTAAACTACATGACTTAACCAAATCCTATTAAACAATTCCTTACATAATTTCTTCAAAACAAACATTTATTGGGAATTTTGATGGCTTATGTCTGAACATAGAGGAAAAATTTTGGCACTTTTTAGGAAAAAGTATATAATTTCTTAACTCTACTACAATAGAAACAATTAAATGAGCCTCATGATTGCATTGTTCGTTTATATATACATAAATAATCATCATCATTATACAAAAAAAAAAGAAAAATCAAAATGCTACACCCATAACATAAAAAAAGAAGATAAATCCTATCTTTAACACTAATGCCATGATACTATATATTTTTAAATGCAGGTCATGAAATACAGATGTAATACTGAGGCACCTTGTATGCGTTTACTACTTCTGTTGTCATTGTACACAAAAGTATTACCATAGCCCATTAAGGAGTACTGTAACATTGTAAAAGCCATATGAACTATTCTTATTATCAGGGAATCCATAACATCATTAAAATAGATCATGTGAATAGAATCTACGGAAGGCAAAACGGGCTTTACAATAGACTCTTTATAGATTCAATAGATATGTTATAACTTTAACACAACGTCTTGGTTGGGGGAGGGGGGTGAGGGAGACAAGGTATTAAATATTCTCTATCCATTGAACAGTCGTACCACCATCTTAGTATAAACAAACGAAGCACCTACATTTAATGGCTCAGATGAAAAAGAAAAAAAGTAACATCAACATCAGTTTGATTTCGTGGCGAGAGCCGGGCATCTCGGCCCTTCCTCTCCTCTTCTTGAGCTCCTTCGGGCCCTGGTTCTCGGCTCCTGCAGCCCTCAGCCCCGCGGCCTCACTCCTCCGAAGGGCTTCGGCTGGACTTGAGGAAGATGGTGGTGCTGGAGACGGCCCTGCCCGGCGACGGCCGCCCGGAGTCGCGCTCCTCGGAGTCGCGTCCGCTCGAGCACGGCGGCGTCGCCTCCCGGCTCGAGCTCTCGTCGGCGTCGTGGCCGCCCGTCGCGTGCAGGCGCAGCGTGAACGACGCCTCCGCCGTCCTGGGGCTCCCCCCCTCCTCCTCCTCCTTCTCGGGCGAGCTGCCCTCCGGCTCAGGGGACTCTTCGGCCTTCGGGGACGCCTCCTTGCTCGCGCCCTTGCCCGAGTCCTCGCCGTCCCTGGGGCTGACCTCCTCCTCGCTCGGCGGCGGCGGCTTCTCGTCGCTCTCCTCCTCCGCCTTCTTGTCCTTGTCCTTCTTGTTCTTCTTGGACGTGTTCTTCTTGGCCTCCTGCGACACGGCGGAGGGCCGCAGCCGCCCCGCGCGCCCGCGCTTCATCGTGGCCAGGATGCTCTTCATCTCTTGCACAGCGTCGGCCGGCTTGTCCGCCACCTCGCCCGACGCCTTCTTGCTGCTGTAGCCCAGGCAGAAGGGCTTCGTGGCCTTCAGTTTGACGCCGCCCTGCTTGATCTGGTTGATGAGGTCGTCCATCCCGCCGCCAGGTTTGGCGCTCGAGTCTGTGGGAGGAGGAGCGAGGTCAGAAGGGCTCTCTCTCTCTCTCTCTCGCTTCTCTCTCTTCCTCATCTCTCTCTCTCCTCCTCTCTCTCCTCTCTCTCTCCTCTCTCTCTCTCTCTCCTCCCTCCTCTCTCTCTCTCTCTCTCTCTCCTCTCTCTCTCTCTCCTCTCTCTCTCTCTCTCTCTCTCTCTCTCTCTCTCTCTCTCTCTCTCTCTCTCTCTCTCTCTCTCTCTCTCTCTCCTCTTCTCTTCTTCTCTCTCTCCCCCCCTCCCTCTCTCTTCTCACTCTCTCTTCTCTCCCTCTCTCTCTCTCTCTCTCTCTCTCGCTCTCCTCTCTCTCCCTCTCCCTCCTCGCCTTCCCTTCTCTTCTCTCTCTCTCTCTCTCTCTCCTCTCCCTCCCCTCTCTCCTCTCTCTCTCTCTCTCTTCTCTCTTCTCTCATCTCTCTCTTCTCTCTCCTCTCTCTCTCTCTCGCTCCTCTCCCTCTCCCCTCCTTCCCTCATCTCTCTCATCTCATCTCTCTCTCTCTCTTCCGCCCCTCCCTTCCACCCCCCCCCCTTCTCTCTCTCCGCTCTCTTTCGCTCTTTCTCTCTCTCTCATCCCTACCCTCCGCCTCTGTTTCCACTAGAGCCCCCGCCCCCCCAAAAAAAAAAAAAAAAAAAAAAAAAAAAAACTCGCTTTTTCTTCGCCCACTCAACCCCCTAACGCAATCCGCCCACTCAGCCCCCTAACGCAGCCCGCCCACGCAGCCCGCCCACTTACCTGGGCCGTCTGCCTCCTTCTTGTTCTGCTTGGAGACCCCGATCATGGTGGCCAGCGTCGCTACGGGGTTCACAGGCGGAGGTGGAGGGGAGGAGGCGGGGGAGGCCGCCGCCTGAGGAAGGTGGAGGAGGTGGAGTGGAGGAGGGGGAGGAGCTCCGACGCCTGGAGGAGGTGGAGGTGGAGGAGGAGGTGCCCCGCCCACAAGGAGGGGGAGGTGGAGGGGAGGGGGAGGAGCTCCAGGTTGGCATTCGAATTTTGGGCGGGGATCGGCACCTCGAGGGGAGTCGCGGCCGCCAGTTGGTCCGTTGAGGTGGAGCGAGGAGGACGTCTGCGCGTGTCTCAGGGATTTGATTTCCCGCTGCTGCTCCTCAACTGAAATGACGAATGAAGGGAAGGGAAGGAGAATTTCGATAAATGGGAGATGTAATATAAGCGAATATAACGAGGGATTTATTTTCGATTTTGGTGTATTTGAAGTAGGGTAGGTCTTTAAGATCTTAGGAGATAGATGGAGGGAGTGATAGCGAAGGAGAGAGAGAGAGAGAGAGAGAGAGAGAGAAGAAGAGAGAGAGAGAGAGAGAGAGAGAGAGAGAGAGGAGAGAGGAGAGAGAGAGAAGAGAGAAGAGAAAAAGAGCCGAGAAAGACAGGAAACAGACGACGAAAACAGTTATAGATTAGAAAAGAAAGAGTAGGCGAAGAAACAGAATCAAACAAATCAAGAAAAGAACGAAAAAAGTTAAAAAGAAAAGAAAAGAAAAAAAAAAAAAAACGAAAAGTACAAAAATAATAAAAAATAAAAAAATATAAAAAAGATAAAAAAATTAAAATGGGAAAAAATCCTACCTTCCTTCTGGAGTTTTTCCACGTGTTGCCGCGGCGTCCATGGCCTTTCTTCTCCTGCGTCCTGACCTCCCTCCTCCAGCAGCAGACGCGCCTCCTTCAGCAGGTCGACCTCAGCAGCCTTCTCTCCCCGTCTCGTACGATTTGCAACTTGGCCTTGCCAGTGCAATGGGAGAGTTGTTATATCGGGCGTTTGCTGATTTTTGAGTCAGTTGTTATATCGGGGTTTGCTGATTCTGAGAGTTATTATATCGGGGTTTGCTGATTTTGAGTGAGTTGTTATATCGGGGTTTGCTGATTCTGAGAGAGTTGTTATTTCGGGGTTTGCTGATTCTGAGTGAGTTTGTTAATATCGGGTTTGCTGATTCTGAGCGAGTTGTTATATCGGGGTTTGCTGATTTTGAGAGAGTTGTTATATCGGGGGTTTACTGTTTTGAGAGAGGGGGGAGGAAAAGGGGAAAAGGGAAAATTAATCTTCTAAATTGACCTGTTTTCCTTTATTTTTTTCTGTGTTATTATATGAATAAAAATGGGTTTGTTTTTCTTTACCTAATCTCAGCTCTGGCATTAATTATGCTTATTAACCATACGCCATTTTGTTCTGATTTGTAGGCTTTGTGTAAAGGAACGCTTGTTGAATTTTGTATCTATTTATCTATTTCTTTATTTAATCATTTATTATCGATCTACTTCTATATACTGAGTCCGTCATCTGATTTACAGCCCTGAAAAAATAGCGGGTTTAGGGATCCCTCTGATAAATGTTATTTCTATTTGAAAGATCTATTTTCCTTTCTTTTTATCAGACTTCCTAAGGCATCTTTTCCAGCGGTTAAGGGAAACGCGACACTTCTCGTGCGACAGGAATCCAGATGCATTCCTCCTACTTTGGATATTTCATGCATATTCGTACTTATATTGGATATCTTAACACCGCACTACCCACCATAAGATATCAAAAGCCATCTTGGATATCATATTCCAAAATACTGTTTACCTGTTGGAAAATAACCAGTACAGTAAAATAGCAAGCCGTCAACTGCGATCATTCCCATTACGTCACAGAAATGGGCGGAGCTTAGAAGCCTGTCTCGCCTCCGATCACGAGACAGATTTTGGTGTCGCGGCGCGTCTCGTGACACCCTAAATGCCACCGGAAAAGATGCCTCTAGTCTCTTTTGCTCTTCGACCCCGAAAATTGCCATGTCTCAAAAAAGAGGAAAGAAAGAAAGAAGATGTATATATGTATATTGTATGTATCTATCTAATATATGTATATATATACATATATATATATATACATATATAATGATAACTCAACAGGTCTTCCTCAAAAGAACACACTGAGACTTGTGTTGGTGTTCTCTTTGATTCAAGTATAATGACAAAACAATAACACTAAAGAATAAAGACTAAAAACTACAATGCCAACCCCACAAAAAAGGAATAAAATACAATAAAAAAGAAAATCTACTCATTTTTCTCTCTCTCTGTTCAACAGATTTGTGGCTTCTGATTTTTTTTTCTTTCTTCCTTTTTTCTTCTCCATCAGTAAAATTTGGGGTATTTATTCCCATCCACAAATTTGGGGATAATCTTTTTATATATTGGCATGCTGTTGCCCCAACCGCGAATTTTAGGATACTTTCTTAAAAATGGGTTTACATGGGTATGTCATCTGGCATTTTTTTTTCTTTTTTTTAATAAGGGTATATTATACCCGGTTCACCAATTCTGGGATACTCTGCTTACTCGGGTATGCTATTCCCCATTCACCAATTTTGGAATAATATTTTTGTATGTATGGGTATGTCATCTCGCATCTACCATTTTTTTTTTACATGGGTATGTTATTCACAATCTACCAATTCTAGGATTTTTTACATGGGTGTGTTGGTCCCCTTCCACCATTTTTTTGCATGTTCATATCATTCGTAATCCACCAATTCTGGGATATTTTTTATATCGGTATACTATTCCCCATCTACCAGTTTTAGAACACTATTTTTTTTTTTTACATGGGTATGTTAGCAATGACAAATAAACATTAAAAAAACTACGAAATCAACCTCTCGACAAAAGCTAAAAGCACGCAAAACCTAAAGGCACGAACCTTCAGCTTGTGAATGGTCTGCTTGTGTTCCTCGCAAAACCTAAAGGCACGAACCTTCAGCTTGTGAATGGTCTGCTTGTGTTCTCGCAAAACCTAAGGCACGAACCTTCAGCTTGTGAATGGTCTGCTTGTGTTCCTCGCAAAACCTAAAGGCACGAACCTTCAGCTTGTGAATGGTCTGCTTGTGTTCCTCGCAAAACCTAAAGGCACGAACCTTCAGCTTGTGAATGGTCTGCTTGTGTTCCTCGCAAAGGCCTTCAGCTTGTGAATGGTCTGCTTGTGTTCGCAGGCACGAACCTTCAGCTTGTGAATGGTCTGCTTGTGTTCTTCGTCGAGCGCGTGCAGTTGCTGAGTGACGCTGTGCACCTCCTCCAGCGCCAGCCTCAGTCGCTCATCGCCCATCACGTCGGCAAGAGCTACGGCGCTCTGCCTCGCCAGCGCCGCCTGCTCGCTACGGGCCTGTGGGGGGAGATAGGAAGGGAGGGAGAAGGGTGAAAGGAAGGGGAGAGAGATAGGAAGGGAAGGAGAGGGGTGAAAGGAAGGGGGAGGAAAAGGAGGGATAAATGGACGGCGAAAGGAAAGGGGGAAGGGGGGGGGGGAGGAAGAGAGAGAGAGGGATGAGAAGGGAGGAGGGGAGGGAGGGAAGGAGAGAGAGAGAGAGAGAGAGAGAGAGAGAGAGAGAGAGAGAGAGAGAGAGAGAGAGAGAGAGAGAGAGAGAGAGAGAGAGAATAGGAAATGGATTATTTTCTTTCTACTATGTTAATTTTCATTATTATCATTATCATTACCATCACAAAAAGGGTATCACTATCACCATCATCACCACAACCATCATCATCATCATCACAATCATCAAAATCAAATCACCATCGCAATCATAATCCTTCTCACCACAACAATCACCACCACTATCTATTATCATCACAACCCTCATATTCACACGCATTACCATCATCACAACAATTGCCTTCACGACTTGCTCCCAGCATCACAATCATCGAAATCAGATCATCACAATCATTCTCATCACGACAGTCTCCCGTCAAAATCACCCCATCATCATCACAACCATTTCATTATCATACATTTTTGTCCATTTTTTGACAATTTTATTTAACATAAATACCAACATTCTTGAATATAGCTCTTGGTTTGACTTTTTGCTTGGCTGAAAAAAGTTAACGAAAGGTTTTAAGACGGAAACGATCCATTATCGTTCTGACTGGAAAATCGACAATTCGCCCAAAATGGACAAAATTTCAGAAAATTGAAAAAAAAAAAAAAAAAAAAATGGCGGAAAAGGTGCTAGTGCGTCAACACCTTAATTCCCGCTTTCAAAACAACACAGAAAAAAATACGTTTCGCCGACTTGCCGCTACCACAACTTTCCCCCTCCTTCCCCTCCTCCTTCACCTCCTCTTACCCCTTTCCCTTTCTCACTATCCCTTCCCCATCCTTTTTGCCTCTTTCCCCTATTTTTTCCTTCTTTTTTTTTACTGCGGGGCTTCTTCCGCCCTCTCTTTCCTGCCTTTCCCTCCCCTTTTCCCCTATTTTCTTACCTTCGTCCATACCTTCTTCCTTTCCCCTTCCCCATCATTTTCCCTCCTTCCCTTTACTCCTTTTTCTTACCTTTGCGGCCTCCTTCTTCCTTCCCTTTCCCCCTATTTTTCTTACCTTCGCCTCCTCCTTCTTCCTTCCCCTTTCCCCTTCCCCCCTTTTTTTTTTCTTACCTTCGCTCCCCCTCCACCCCCGCCCCTATTTTTCTTACCTCGCCGCCTCCGTCGTGGCCTTCTTCGCCTTCTCCGCCTCCGAGTGCAGCTGTGCCTGCAGCGCCTCCACCTCGTCCAGCACCAGCACCGACACGCGACCCATCCGGCGCTCCACCGCCTCCAGCTCCGTCAGGCGACTCTGCAGAAGGAGGGGGGGGGGTTGAGACGAGGGAAGGAGGTTGGTCGGACGGATGGGGTGGGTTGGGGTAGGGTGGGTTTAGGGTAGGGTGGGTTTGGGTAGGGTGGGTTGGGTGGGGTTTGGGATGGTGGGTTTGGGTAGGGTTTTGGGTTAGGGACAGAAGAAAAAAAGAGAGAGATAGATAGATAGATAGAGAGAGAG